GACACACTTAGACAAGAGGCTGACACACTTAGACAAGAGGGCTGACACACTAAGACAAGAGGGCTGACATACTTAGACAAGAGGGCTGACACACTTAGACAAGAGACTGACACACTAAGACAAGAGGCTGACACACTTAGACAAGAGGCTGACACACTTAGACAAGAGGCTGACACACTTAGACACGAGGCTGACACACTTAGACAAGAGGGCTGACACACTTAGACAAGAGGCTGACACACTTAGACAAGAAGCTGACACACTTAGACAAGAGGCTGACACACTTAGACAAGAGGGCTGACACACTTAGACAAGAGGCTGACACACTTAGACAAGAGGGCTGACACACTTAGACAAGAGGCTGACACACTTAGACAAGAGGCTGACACACTTAGACAAGAGGGCTGACACACTTAGACAAGAGGCTGACACACTTAGACAAGAGGGCTGACACACTAAGACAAGAGGCTGACACACTTAGACAAGAGGCTGACACACTTAGACAAGAGGGCTGACACACTTAGACAAGAGGCTGACACACTAAGACAAGAGGCTGACACACTTAGACAAGAGGCTGACACACTTAGACAAGAGGGCTGACACACTTAGACAAGAGGGCTGACACACTTAGACAAGAGGCTGACACACTTAGACAAGAGGGATGACACACTACTAATACAAGAGTCTGACACACTTAGACAAGAGGGCTGACATACTTAGACAAGAGGCTGACACACTAAGACAAGAGGCTGACACACTTAGACAAGAGGCTGACACACTTAGACAAGAGGGCTGACACACTACTAAGACAATAGTCTGACACACTTAGACAAGAGGGCTGACACACTTAGACAAGAGGGCTGACACACTTAGACAAGAGGCTGACACACTTAGACAAGAGGCTGACACACTTAGAAAAGAGGGCTGACACACTTAGACAAGAGGGCTGACTCACTTAGACAAGAGGGCTGACACACTTAGACAAGAGGCTGACACACTTAGACAAGAGGGATGACACACTACTAAGACAAAAGTCTGACACACTTAGACAAGAGGGCTGACATACTTAGACAAGAGGCTGACACACTAAGACAAGAGGCTGACACACTTAGACAAGAGGCTGACACACTTAGACAAGAGGGCTGACACACTACTAAGACAATAGTCTGACACACTTAGACAAGAGGGCTGACACACTTAGACAAGAGGGCTGACACACTTAGACAAGAGGCTGACACACTTAGACAAGAGGCTGACACACTTAGACAAGAGGGCTGACACACTTAGACAAGAGGCTGACACACTTAGACAAGAGGGCTGACACACTAAGACAAGAGGCTGACACACTTAGACAAGAGGCTGACACACTTAGACAAGAGGGCTGACACACTTAGACAAGAGGCTGACACACTAAGACAAGAGGCTGACACACTTAGACAAGAGGCTGACACACTTAGACAAGAGGGCTGACACACTTAGACAAGAGGGCTGACACACTTAGACAAGAGGCTGACACACTTAGACAAGAGGGATGACACACTACTAATACAAGAGTCTGACACACTTAGACAAGAGGGCTGACATACTTAGACAAGAGGCTGACACACTAAGACAAGAGGCTGACACACTTAGACAAGAGGCTGACACACTTAGACAAGAGGGCTGACACACTACTAAGACAATAGTCTGACACACTTAGACAAGAGGGCTGACACACTTAGACAAGAGGGCTGACACACTTAGACAAGAGGCTGACACACTTAGACAAGAGGCTGACACACTTAGAAAAGAGGGCTGACACACTTAGACAAGAGGGCTGACTCACTTAGACAAGAGGGCTGACACACTTAGACAAGAGGCTGACACACTTAGACAAGAGGGATGACACACTACTAAGACAAGAGTCTGACACACTTAGACAAGAGGGCTGACATACTTAGACAAGAGGCTGACACACTAAAACAAGAGGCTGACACACTTAGACAAGAGGCTGACACACTTAGACAAGAGGGCTGACACACTACTAAGACAATAGTCTGACACACTTAGACAAGAGGGCTGACACACTTAGACAAGAGGGCTGACACACTTAGACAAGAGGCTGACACACTTAGACAAGAGGCTGACACACTTAGAAAAGAGGGCTGACACACTTAGACAAGAGGGCTGACTCACTTAGACAAGAGGGCTGACACACTTAGACAAGAGGCTGACACACTTAGACAAGAGGGCTGACACACTTAGACAAGAGGCTGACACACTAAGACAAGATGGCTGACACACTTAGACAAGAGGGCTGACACACTTAGACAAGAGGCTGACACACTTAGACAAGTGGGCTGACACACTAAGACAAGAGGGCTGACACACTTAGACAAGAGGCTGACACACTAAGACAAGAGGCTGACACACTTAGACAAGAGGCTGACACACTTAGACAAGAGGCTGACACACTAAGACAAGAGGGCTGACACATTTAGACAAGAGGGCTGACACACTAAGACAAGAGGGCTGACACACTTAGACAAGAGGGCTGACACACTAAGACAAGAGGGCTGACACACTTAGACAAGAGGGTTGACACACTTAGACAAGAGGCTGACACACTTAGACAAGAGGCTGACACACTTAGACAAGAGGGCTGACACACTAAGACAAGAGGCTGACACACTTAGACAAGAGGGCTGACACACTTAGACAAGAGGCTGACACACTTAGACAAGAAGCTGACACACTTAGACAAGAGGCTGACACACTTAGACAAGAGGCTGACACACTTAGACAAGAGGCTGACACACTAAGACAAGAGGCTGACACAGTAAGACAAGAAGGCTGACACACTTAGACAAGAGGGCTGACACACTAAGACAAGAGGGCTGACACACTTAGACAAGAAGCTGACACACTAAGACAAGAGGGCTGACACACTTAGACAAGAGGGCTGACACACTTAGACAAGAGGCTGACACACTTAGACAAGAGGCTGACACACTTAGACAAGAGGGCTGACACAGTAAGACAAGAGGGCTGACACACTTAGACAAGAGGCTGACACACTTAGACAAGAGGCTGACACACTAAGACAAGAGGGCTGACACACTTAGACAAGAGGGCTGACACATTTAGACAAGAGGGCTGACACACTAAGACAAGAGGGCTGACACACTTATACAAGAGGGCTGACACACTTAGACAAGAGGGCTGACATACTTAGACAAGAGGCTGACACACTTAGACAAGAGGCTGACACACTTAGACAAGAGGCTGACACACTAAGACGAGGGCTGACACACTTAGACAAGAGACTGACACACTTAGACAAGAGGCTGACTCACTTAGACAAGAGGGCTGACACACTTAGACAAGAGGGCTGACACACTTAGACAAGAGGCTGACACACTAAGACAAGAGGGCTGACACACTTAGACAAGAGGGCTGACACACTTAGACAAGAGGCTGACACACTTAGACAAGAGGCTGATACACTTAGACAAGAGGCTGACACACTTAGGCAAGAGGGCTGACACACTTAGACAAGAGACTGACACACTAAGACAAGAGGGCTGACACACTAAGACAAGAGGGCTGACACACTTAGACAAGAGGCTGACACACTTAGACAAGAGGGCTGACACACTAAGACAAGAGGCTGACACACTTAGACAAGAGGCTGACACACTTAGACAAGAGGGCTGACACACTTAGACAAGAGGGCTGACACACTTAGACAAGAGGCTGACACACTTAGACAAGAGGGCTGACACACTTAGACAAGAGGGCTGGCACACTTAGACAAGAGGCTGACACACTTAGACAAGAGGGCTGACACACTTAGACAAGAGGCTGACACACTTAGACAAGAGGGCTGACACACTAAGACAAGAGTGCTGACACACTTAGACAAGAGGGCTGACACTTAGACAAGAGGTCTGGCACACTTAGACAAGAGGCTGACACACTTAGACAAGAGGGCTGACACACTTAGACAAGAGGGCTGACACACTTAGACAAGAGGCTGACACACTAAGACAAGAGGGCTGACACACTTAGACAAGAGGGCTGACATACTTAGACAAGAGGCTGACACACTTAGACAAGAGGGCTGACACACTAAGACAAGAGGGCTGACACACTTAGACAAGAGGGCAGACACACTTAGACAAGAGGGCTGACACACTTAGACAAGAGGGCTGACACACTTAGACAAAAGGGCTGACACACTAAGACAAGAGGCTGACACACTTAGACAAGAGGGCTGACACACTTAGACAAGAGGCTGACACACTTAGACAAGAGGGCTGGCACACTTAGACAAGAGGCTGACACACAGCACTTAGACAATGCAGGTCACAGTTTTATTAACACAATAATAATTATTATTATTAACACAATAATTATTACAATAAGTATTATTAACACAATAATTATTATTAACACAATAATTATTATAATAATTATTACAATAAGTATTATTATCACAATAATAATTATTATTACAATAATAATGTTACATGAATCGACAGGTGATGTGATGGTGATGATGTGGTGATGATGTGGTGATGATGTGGTGATGACGAGGTGATCACTGTGATTGTGATGATTAGGTGATCACGGTGATTGTGATGATGAGGTGATCACTGTGATTGTGATGACGAGGTGATCACGGTGAGTGTGACGATGATGTGATCACGGTGATTGTGATGACGAGGTGATCGCGGTGATTGTGATGACGAGGTGATCACGGTGATTGTGATGAAGTGATCACGGTGATTGTGACGAGGTGATCACGGTGATTGTGATGACGAGGTGATCACGGTGAGTGTGACGATGATGTGATCACGGTGATTGTGATGACGAGGTGATCGCGGTGATTGTGATGACGAGGTGATCACGGTGATTGTGATGAAGTGATCACGGTGATTGTGACGAGGTGATCACGGTGATTATGACGACGAGGTGATCACGGTGATTGTGACGACGAGCTGATCACGGTGATTGTGATGACGAGGTGATCACGGTGATTGTGACGACGAGGTGATCACGGTGATTGTGACGACGAGGTGATCACGGTGATTGTGATGACGAGGTGATCACGCTGATTGTGACGACGAGGTGATCACGGTGATTGTGACGACGAGGTGATCACGGTGATTGTGACGACGAGGTGATCACGGTGATTGTGATGACGAGGTGATCACGCTGATTGTGACGACGAGGTGATCACGGTGATTGTGACGACGAGGTGATCACGGTGATTGTGACGACGAGGTGATCACGGTGATTGTGATGACGAGGTGATCACGCTGATTGTGACGACGAGGTGATCACGGTGATTGTGACGACGAGGTGATCACGGTGATTGTGATGAGGTGAGAGTCTCTCCGCTCTCGTAGCGGACAAAGTCGATGATCTCCACTCCGGTGTTGTGAAGTTTTTGCTCTACAGAGATGGCCGGGTCCAGGAGGTAGGGCTGGGACATCAACTCGGTCTGTACACAGCACACACGTACAGTACGTACAGTACATACAGTGCGCACAGTACGTACACAGTACACACATGCAGTATACATACAGTACGTGCAGTGCACGTACAGAACATACAGTGTGCAGTGTGCATACAGTACTTACAGTGCACATACAGTACACACAGTACACACACAGTACATACAGTACACACACAGCACACACAGTACACACAGACAGTATACACAGTACACACACAGTATACACACACAGTACACACACACACAGTACACACACAGTATACACACACAGTATACACACACAGTATATACACACAGTACACACAGTACATACACACAGTACACACACACAGTACACACACACAGTACACACACACAGTATACACAGTACACACAGCACACACACAGTATACACACACAGTATATACACACAGTACACACACAGTACACACACACAGTACACACACACACAGTATATACACACACAGTACACACACACAGTACACACACACAGTACACACACAGTACACACACACAGTACACACACACAGTACACACACACAGTACACACACACAGTACACACACAGTACACACACACAGTACACACACACAGTACACACACACAGTACACACACAGTACACACACACAGTACACACACAGTACACACACACAGTACACACACAGTACACACACACAGTACACACACAGTACACACACACATAGCACACACACAGCACACACAACAACCGCCATTCTCCATTAAGTGGCGGTGACGTCACCACGACGCTTGTGCCAGGCTAGGTGCACCTTGAGGCCACGTGAAGTGTCGAACGCCCGCTGGCAGGAGGTCACAGGGCAGACCCAGGTGCCACGGGTCGACTGACTGAGATGAGTGGCTGATGCACCACCTGTGCCCCCTACTGTGCCAACCTGCTGTGCTTTAGCCACCCGGCGCTCCGCTCGTTGTTGTGAGCGTCGCTCCTCCACCCTCCGTTGTTGTTGGAGGGCGACTGCCTCCAACTGCCCAGTAGCATCCTTCACGAGCCTCCTCCACAGAGGCCGATCTTGACACCGCTAGTACCGGTCATCGGCAAGTCCACTCAGCTCCACGTCCTCCTGTACCACGTCACTCCATCTCTTCTCTAGCCCGTGCCGCGCCCGTTAAGCCCCCTCGATCCGGCCGAACAAAAGCTGTTTCGGCATGCGGTGGCTGGGCATGCGGGCTACATGACCCAGCCATCGCAGCCTTGCCTGCCGGAGGAGCTCACCGATGGGACCTTGCCCAGATATTTCAAGGATTTGTGAACTCCTCACACAATTCAGCCTGGTTAAACCCAGGACGGATCGTAGGCAGGCCAGCCTGAATGTTTCTAACCGGCGAAGATGTTCCATTAGGGGGGTCCACGTTTCGCAAGCATAGAGAAGAGAGGGAATGACCGTGGCCGAAAAGACCTGAAGCTTAGTGCGGAGCGACAGACCAGGTAGCTTCCACACAGCATTACGCAATCAATGAAAAGATATTGCCGCTCCACTGATTCCGAGTGAGACCTCTGCTGTTAAACTGGAGCCGGTCATAAGCACACTGCTCAGGTATGGGAAACTCTCCACTCTCTCCACAACTGCCCCATCACCGATTGGCAGTTGTGGGGGTGGAGTGTCCGATGGTACAAAATACCCAGGCAGGTGCTTAGTTTTGGTGGGGCTGATGGTAAGGCCCCATCTCTTAGTAGCACGCTCCAGTCTCAGCAGCAGCGTCTCCAACTCCTCCTCTGAATGAGCAGCTATTACCAAATCATCGGCATACATAACGTGGTTGAGCAATAGGGAGCCATCCCTTGAACGCATCCGGGCATCGATCAGCCTCCCATTATATCTGTACCATATGGAGATTCCCCAGGTACAGCTATTGAAGGCTTCACGAACTACGCGGTCAAAATAGATGTTAAATAATGTGGAAAAAAGAGGACATCCCTGTCACACCCCAAGGTGTACAGGGAATGGCTCTGACTCCCGGCCACGTAGTTTTACCCGGGCCAGCTCACCATCATGAAGGTCCTTAATGACCGTGGCCGAGAAGACCTGAAGGTACTCCAAAAGCACGAAGAACAACCCAGAGCCCAGGTCTATTGATGGTATCATAGGCCTTGACCAGGTCAATAAAGCAGAGATGTAGGTCTTGTTGGAATTCCCTACACCTCTGCTGTAGCAGACGGACAGAAAATATGGCATCCGTGCAGGACCGCCCTTTCCTGAAACCGCATTGGGGCTCCGCAAGCCTCTCCTCAGCTTGCAAGGCGATGTTGAATAATCCTTGCCAGGACCTTTCCCGGCATACTGAGGAGTGAGATGCCCTGTAGTTATTACAGTCTGTGCGGTCCCCCTTCTTAAAGAGGGGGACCACCAGGGCATCCTTCCAATCCTGCGGAACCCGTCCCAGTGGTCTGACTGTTGTTATGATGTCATATAGGGCAGTCTGTGTACAAACGCAACCCTCCCTCAGCATTTCGCTTGGAAGATCATCTCTGCCCAGTGCCTTTCCTGGTCAGATGGCACCTCAGCCAGCCACTCACAGGGGGTGACTTCTTCCTCCAATATTTGAGGTACCACAGCCTCAGCAGGGTCATCCCCACTTTGTCCCACAATGTTTTCCTGGCTGAGGGATTTTCCCTCCCCCAGGACCTCACAGAAATGCTCAGCAAATCTGCAAACCTGTTCCTGGGGGTCGGAGATTGGATCACCGTTCTTTCCCCTAATGTTGGTAAAAGGTGTGGCGCTGCAGGTTACTTTTTTGATGGAATTAAATAGAGATTTGTGATTGTGGGCCATCTCCTCAGCAACCTGCGACCACCACCCATCCTTGCAGCGCCTCACGGCTCTCCGAACCTCCGAGTGAAGGCTGCGGTAATCCTCCTCATTCTCCGACGTGGGATTCTGTAGCCGATGACAGTAGGCCTGTCGCTTTTTCTCAACCATCCTGAACACCTCCTCTGTCAGCCAGGGTCTCTGGGGAGGTCTGGACCGCGTACACAAAGCAGCCATCGCAGCTGCATGAGTCACAGTCCTAAACCTCGCCCATTTACCCTCGACATCAGGAGGAGTGGGGGACGATGCCAACCCCAGCCGCAAGCGATGATGAAATTCTCATCAGCTAACTGAGACCAGGCCACTAAGGGTTTGAATGAGGTCCTGGGTGTACACCCACCACCGGAGTGGAAGAATGGCAGGCGCATTTTACAGATGACAAGTCGATGGTCAGTGGGCAGATCAGCTCCACGGTAGGTCCTGGTGTCAAGGACATGGGCCCGCATCCGCTGTTCTGTAACTATGTAGTCCAGCAGATGTTCTTGCTTGGACCCGGCATGCATCCATGATGTTGTGTGGATGCCAGAACAGCGTGTTGGTAATTACAAGCCCATGGGCTGCACAAAAATCTAGCAGCCTCCTACCGTTGTTATTGAGCTGATCTGGCAAATGCCTTCCATTTAATCCAGACCAGGTGCCAGCATCATGACCAACTCGGGCATTGAAGTCACCCAACAAGATGACTCTATTCTGAGGGGCCACTTTAGCCAGCACCTGTGACAGGAGGTCATAGAAGGCATCTGACTCATCGGCTTTGCCTGCATCCCTCCACGGATGTTCATCTTCGGTGGGGGCATAAGTAACCACGACCACCACTCCTTGCCTCCGGTTGATGGGAAGGCGAGCCCAAAGTAGCCTGGGGCTTACAGCTTCCCACACCTCACCGCCACGCTCCCATGCCCCCTTCATTATTTTGTTCAAAAGAAGAGCCACACCCTGTTGTTTGGCAGTCTGCTGCCCCGAGTAGAGGACTGTCCACCCCTCATGGTGGCAGGAGCCAGAGCCGGTCCACCGGACCTCCTGAATGCCACAGAGATCCAGGCGGTACCGGTCCAGCTACCGACAGAGGAGTGGCAGCCTCTCCTCCGCAGTGAGTATTCGAACATTCCACGTGGCCACACGAAGTGGCTTTTCGTTGTTTCTGGAGGAGTCCCGAGGGCAGATATTCAATCTCCTGGCTCCGCCAATTGGGGTTTGGCCAGGAGACGTCATAGACGCCTGTCCCCCCGGGGCCTCCGGCACAAGCTTATTAGTTACAGATTTAAGTCGTGGTTTAGTGGTAATTTATTGAAGGTGGAGGGGTTACCAGCCCCTCGCACCTGTCCAGAGCCCCCGTTTAGCCCCTGTGGTGGTCACAGACGCCATGAGGGGAGAGGAGCCAATCGGAATTGGCTCCTCCCCCCACAGCATTGTCCACGACAGAGTTGCCCGTCCGGCATCGCGAGGAGGTAGGGGGTTGTTTCACACCTAGACACACACACACCTACACACACATACACACCTAGACACACACACACCTAGACACACATACACACCTAGACACACACACACAGACACACATACACACCTAGACACACACAGAGACACACACACCTCACACACCTAGACACACACAGAGACACACACACCTCACACACCTAGACACACACACCTCACACACCTAGACACACACACACACAGACACACACACAAACAACAACAACAACCGCCATTCGCCACTAAGTGGCGGTGACGTCACCACGACGCTTGTGCCAGGCTATGTGCACCGTGAGGCCACGTGAAGTGTCGAACGCCCGCTGGCAGGAGGTCACGGGGCAGACCCAGGTGCCACGGGTCGACTGACTGAGATGACTGGCTGATGCACCACCTGTGCCCCCTACTGTGCCAACCTGCTGTGCTTTAGCCACCCGGCGCTCTGCTCGTTGTTGTGAGCGTCGCTCCTCCACCCTCCGTTGTTGTTGGAGGGCGACTGCCTCCAACTGCCCAGTAGCATCCTTCACGAGCCTCCTCCACAGAGGCCGATCTTGACACCGCTGGTACCAGTCATCGGCAAGTCCACTCAGCTCCACGTCCTCCTGTACCACATCACTCCATCTCTTCTCTAGCCCGTGCCGCGCCCGCTTAGCCCCCTCAATCCGGCCAAACAAAAGCTGTTTCGGCATGCGGTGGCTGGGCATGCAGGCTACATGACCCAGCCATCGCAGCCTTGCCTGCCGGAGGAGCTCACCGATGGGACCCTGCCCAGATCTTTCAAGGATTTGTGAGCTCCTCGTTGTTGTGAGCGTCGCTCCTACACCCTCCGTTGTTGTTGGAGGGCGACTGCCTCCAACTGCCCAGTAGCATCCTTCACGAGCCTCCTCCACAGAGGCCGATCTTGACACCGCTGGTACCAGTCATCGGCAAGTCCACTCAGCTCCACGTCCTCCTGTACCACATCACTCCATCTCTTCTCTAGCCCGTGCCGCGCCCGCTTAGCCCCCTCAATCCGGCCAAACAAAAGCTGTTTCGGCATGCGGTGGCTGGGCATGCAGGCTACATGACCCAGCCATCGCAGCCTTGCCTGCCGGAGGAGCTCACCGATGGGACCCTGCCCAGATCTTTCAAGGATTTGTGAGCTCCTCACACAATCCAGTCTGGTTAAACCCAGGATGGATCGTAGGCAGGCCAGCCTAAATGTTTCTAACCGGCGAAGATGTTCCATTAGGGGGGTCCACGTTTCGCAAGCGTAGAGAAGGGAGGGAATGACCGTGGCCGAGAAGACCTGAAGCTTAGTGCGGAGCGACAGACCAGGTAGCTTCCACACAGCGTTACGCAACCGATGAAAAGATATTGCCGCTCGACTGATTCGGAGTGAGACCTCTGCTGTTAAACTGGAGCCAGTCATAAGCACACTGCCCAGGTATGGGAAACTCTCCACTCTCTCCACAACTGCCCCATCACCGATTGGGAGTTGTGGGGGTGGAGTGTCCGATGGTACAAAATACCCAGGCAGGTGCTTAGTTTTGGTGGGGCTGATGGTAAGGCCCCACCTCTTAGTGGCACGCTCCAGTCTCAGCAGCAGCGTCTCCAACTCCTCCTCTGACTGAGCAGCTATTACCAAATCATCAGCATACATAACGTGGTTGAGCAATAGGGAGCCATCCCTTGACCGCACCCGGGCATCGATTAGCCTCCCATTATATCTGTACCATATGGAGATTCCCCCGGTACAGCTATTGAAGGCTTCACGAACTACGTGGTCAAAATAGATGTTAAATAATGTGGGAGCCAGAGGACATCCCTGTCGCACCCCAAGGTGTACAGGTAATGGCTCTGACTCCCGGCCACGTAGTTTACCCGGGCCCGCTCACCATCATGAAGGTCCTTAATGATCGTGAGCAGAGGGTCAGGTACTCCAAAAGCACGAAGAACGACCCAGAGCCCAGGCCTACTGATGGTATCATAGGCCTTGACCAGGTCAATAAAGCAGAGATGTAGGTCTTGTTGGAATTCCCTACACCTCTGCTGTAGCAGACGGACAGACAATATGGCATCTGTGCAGGACCGCCCTTTCCTGAAACCGCATTGGGGCTCCGCAAGCCTCTCCTCAGCGTGCCTGGCAAGGCGATGCTGAATAATCCTTGCCAGGACCTTTCCCGGCACACTGAGGAGTGAGATGCCCCTGTAGTTGTTACAGTCTGTGCGGTCCCCCTTCTTAAAAAGGGGGACCACCAGGGCATCCTTCCAATCCTGCGGAACCCGTCCAGTGGTCCAGACTGTTGTTATGATGTCATATAGGGCAGTCTGTGCACAAACACCACCCTCCCTCAGCATTTCGCTTGGGAGATCATCTCTGCCCGCTGCCTTTCCTGGTCTCAGACTCCGGATCGCCTTCAATACTTCCTCAGCAGATGGCACCTCAGCCAGCCACTCACAGGGGGTGACTTCTTCCAATATTTGAGGCACCGCAGCCTCAGCAGGGTCATCCTCACTTTGTGCCACGATGTTTTCCTGGCTGGGTGATTTTCCCTCCCCCAGGACCTCACAGAAATGCTCAGCAAATCTGCGAACCTGTTCATGGGGGTCGGAGATTGGATCACCGTTTTTTCCCCTAATGATGGTAATAGGTGTGGCGGACGGGCAACTCTGTCGTGGACAGTGCTGTGGGGGGAGATCCAATTTTGACTGGCTCCTCCCCTCATGGCGTCTGTGACCACCACAGGGGCTAAACGGGGGCTCTGGACGGGTGCGAGGGGCTGGTAACCCCTCCACTTTCAATTAATTACCACGAAACCACGAATTAAACACACAGACACACACACCTATACACACACACACTGAGACACACATACACACCTAGACACACACACTGAGACACACACAGCTAGACACACACACAGACACACACACCTAGAAACACACACACCTATACACACACACACACCTAGACACACACACACTGAGACACACACAGCTAGACACACACACTGAGACACACACAGCTAGACACACACAGACACACAACAACAACAACAACAACCGCCATTCGCCACTAAGTGGCGGTGACGTCACCACGACGCTTGTGCCAGGCTAGGTGCACCTTGAGGCCACGTGAAGTGTCGAACGCCCGCTGGCAGGAGGTCACTGGGCAGACCCAGGTGCCACGGGTCGACTGACTGAGATGACTGAGATGACTAGCTGATGCACCACCTGTGCCCCCTACTGTGCCAAACAATTAATTACCACGAAACCACAGACACACACACACCTATACACACACACACCTAGACACACATAGCTAGACACACACACACAGACACACACACACAGTGTCACACACACACAGACTCACACACACACACACAGACTCACACACACACAGACTCACACACACCTAGACACACACACACACACCTAGACACACACACACCTATACACACACACACACCTAGACACACACACACCTATACACACACACGCACTGAGACACACACAGTCATCACGATCCAGCCTTACCTCTGCACCACCATCACCATCACCACCACCACCACCACCACCTCCTCCTCCTCCTCCCTCTCTCTCCACCACCGCCGCCGCTCGCCGTGCCCCCAGGCTGAGCGGTGCCATGCCCACCACGTGCTGGGCCAGCCGGCGACCAACCTCCTCCACCGCCTCCACCGCCTCCACCGCCTCCACCGCCTCCACCGCCTCCTCCACCCCCCCACGGGAGACCTCCAGCGGCTGTGGCCGCAGCACCACCAGGGCGGCAAACTTCCCCAGCAGCGTGACGGCGCCCGGTCCGGCGTGGGGTGGTGGTGGTGTTGGTGATGTTGTTGGTGGTGTTGATGGTGGTGTTGGTGGTGTTGGTGTTGGTGGTGGTGGTGTTGGTGGTGTTGGTGGTGTTGGTGGTGTTGGTGGGGCGCCGTGGACGTAGCTGGCAATGAGCGTTCCGGCGGGGACGCCCAGCCAGCAGCCGCGCTGGATGACCACACGCTCGCCCAGACGGCCTGAGCACACACACACAGTGAGACACACACACAGAGACACAGACACACACAGAGACACACACACAGAGTGATACACACACAGAGTGATACACACACAGTGTCACACACACACACAGACACACACACAGAGACACACAGAGACACACACACAGAGACACACACACAGAGACACACACACAGTGACACACACACACAGTGACACACACACAGAGACACAGACACACACAGAGACACACACACACACACAGAGACACACACACAGAGTGACACACACACACACAGAGAGACACACACAGAGACACACACAGTGACACACACAGAGAGACACACACAGTGACACAGACACACACACACAGTGACACACACAGTGTCACACACACAGAGACACACACAGAGACACACACACACAGTGACAAAGACAAAGACAAAGATCCCCCGTATAGCCTGTAACAGACTGTAGGGGCAAGTGCTGTTAGCGAGCACCTATGAAGGCCGGAACGGTACACGAGGGGGTGGGTGGCCAGCACCACGCCCGACCGCCTTTGTCTCCCTAGTGGCAATGTTTACACACTGCACCAGGTACTCATTTGAGGCTGAGTCGACCTAGGGGAGGCCCGGGACCGGTTCAGATAATCGTCACTGGTGTTGGCCGTGAGCGGGAATCGAACCCGGGTCGCCAGGTTCATAGCGCAGAGCGCTAACCGCTACACTACCGCTCCCCACACAGTGACACACACAGTGTCACACACACAGAGACACAGACACACACACAGACACACAGAGAGACACACACAGAGACACACACAGAGACACACACACAGTGACACACACACAGAGACACACAGAGACACACACAGAGAGACACACACAGAGACACACACAGAGAGACACACACACACAGTGACACACACAGAGAGAGACACACACACACACAGACACACAGAGACACACACACAGAGACACACACACAGAGAGACACACACACACAGAGACACACAGAGACACACACACAGAGACACACACACAGAGAGACACACACACACAGGGACACACACAGAGAAACACACACACAGAGTGATACACACACAGAGTGATACACACACAGTGTCACACACACACACAGAGACACACACAGAGACACACACACACAGTGACACACACAGAGACACACACACACAGTGTCACACACACACAGAGACACACACAGAGACAAACACACACAGTGTCACACACACACAGAGACACACACACACAGAGACACACACAGAGAGACACACACACACAGTGACACACACAGAGACACACACACACAGAGACACACACAGAGAGACACATACACACACAGAGACGCACACAACAACAACAACCGCCATTCGCCACTAAGTGGCGGTGACGTCACCACGACGCTTGTGCCAGGCTATGTGCACCCTGAGGCCACGTGAAGTGTCGAACGCCCGCTGGCAGGAGGTCACGGGGCAGACCCAGGTGCCACGGGTCGACTGACTGAGATGACTGAGATGACTGGCTGATGCACCACCTGTGCCCCCTACTGTGCCAACCTGCTGTGCTTTAGCCACCCGGCGCTCCGCTCGTTGTTGTGAGCGTCGCTCCTCCGCCCTCCGTTGTTGTTGGAGGGCGACTACCTCCAACTGCCCAGTAGCGTCCTTCACGAGCCTCCTCCACAGAGGCCGATCTTGACACCGCTGCTACCAGTCATCGGCAAAGTCCACTCAGCTCCACGTCCTCCTGTACCACAGTCACTCCATCTCTTCTCTAGCCCGTGCCTCGCCCGTTTAGCCCCCTCGAATCCGGCCGAACAAAAGCTGTTTCGGCATGCGGTGGCTGGGCATGCGGGCTACATGATCCAGCCAACGCAGCCTTGCCTGCCGGAGGAGCTCACCGATGGAACCCTGCCCAGATCTTTCAAGGATTTGTGAGCTCCTCACACAATCCAGTCTGGTTAAACCCAGGATGGATCGTAGGCAGGCCAGCCTAAATGTTTCTAACCGGCGAAGATGTTCCATTAGGGGGGTCCACTGTTTCGCAAGCGTAGAGAAGTGAGGAGATGACCGTGGCCGAGAAGACCTGAAGCTTAGTGCGGAGCGACAGACCAGGTAGCTTCCACACAGCGTTACGCAACCGAATGAAAAGATATTGCCGCTCGACTGATTCGGAGTGAGACCTCTGCTGTTAAACTGGAGCCGGTCATAAGCACACTGCCCAGGTATGGGAAACTCTCCACTCTCTCCACAACTGCCCCATCACCGATTGGTAGTTGTGGGGGTGGAGTGTCCGATGGTATAAAATACCCAGGCAGGTGCTTAGTTTTGGTGGGGCTGATGGTAAGGCCCCACCTCTTAGTGGCACGCTCCAGTTTCAGCAGCAGCGTCTCCAACTCCTCCTCTGAATGAGCAGCTATTACCAAATCATCGGCATACATAACGTGGTTGAGCAATAGGGAGCCATCCCTTGACCGCATCCGGGCATCGATCAGCCTCCCATTATATCTGTACCATATGGAGATTCCCCGGTACAGCTATTGAAGGCTTCATGAACTACGTGGTCAAAATAGATGTTAAATAATGTGGGAGCCAGAGGACATCCCTGTCGCACCCCAAGGTGTACAGGGAATGGCTCTGACTCCCTGCCACGTAGTTTTACCCGGGCCCGCTCACCATCATGAAGGTCCTTAATGATCGTGAGCAGAGGGTCAGGTACTCCAAAAGCACGAAGAACAACCCAGAGCCCAGGCCTACTGATGGTAACATAGGCCTTGACCAGGCCAATAAAGCAGAGATGTAGGTCTTGCTGGAATTCCTTACACCTCTGCTATAGCAGACAGACAGAAAATATGGCATCCGTGCAGGACCGCCCTTTCCTGAAACCGCATTGGGGCTCCGCAAGCCTCTCCTCAGCGTGCCTGGCAAGGCGATGTTGAATAATCCTTGCCAGGACCTTCCCCGGCACACTAAGGAGTGAGATGCCCCTGTAGTTGTTACAGTCTGTGCGGTCCCCCTTCTTAAAGAGGGGGACCACCAGGGCATCCTTCCAATCCTGCGGAACCAGTCCAGTGGTCCAGACTGTTGTTATGATGTAATGTAGGGCAGTCTGTGCACAAACGCCACCCTCCCTCAGCATTTCGCTTAGGAGATCATCTCTGCCCGCTGCCTTTCCTGGTCTCAGACTCCGGATCGCCTTCAGTACATCCTCAACAGATGGCACTTCAGCCAGCCACTCACAGGGGGTGACTTCTTCCAATATTTGAGGTACCGCAGCCTCAGCAGGGTCATCCTCACTTCGTGCCACGATGTTTTCCTGGCTGAGGGATTTTCCCTCCCCCAGGACCTCACAGAAATGCTCAGCAAATCTGCAAACCTGTTCCTCGGGGTCGGAGATTGGATCACCGTATTTTCACCCTAATGATGGTAATAGGTGTGGTGCTGCAGGTTACTTTTTTGATGGAGTTAAATAGAGATTTGTGATTGCGGGCCACTGAGGCAGACTCCATCTCCTCAGCAACCCGCGACCACCACCCATCCTTGCAGCGCCTCACGGCTCTCCGAACCTCCGAGCGAAGACTGCGGTAAGCCTCCTCATTCTCTGACGTGGGATGCTGTAGCCCATGAGAGTGGGCCTGTCGCTTTTTCTCAACCACCCTGAACACCTCCTCTGTCAGCCAGGGTCTCTGGGGAGGTCTGGACCGCGCACCCAAAGCAGACATTGCAGCTGCATGAGTCACAGTCCTAAACCTCGCCCATTTACCCTCGACACCTGGAGGAGTGGGGGACGATGCCAACCCCAGCCGCATGTTGAAATTCTCGCTTTCAACTTTCATCAGATAACCGAGACCAGGCCACTTTAGGTTGGAATGGGGTCCTGGGTGTACACCCACCACCGGAGTGGAAGAATGGCAGGCGCATCTTACAGATGACAAGTCGATGGTCAGAGGGCAGATCAGCTCCACGGTAGGTCCTGGTGTCAAGGACATGGGCTCGCATCCGCTGGTCCGTCACTATGTAGTCCAGCAGATGTTCTTGCTTGGACCCGGCATGCATCCATGATGTTGTGTGGATGCGCCGATGCCGGAACAGCGTGTTGGTAATTACAAGCCCATGGGCTGCACAAAAATCTAGCAGCCTCCTGCCGTTGTTATTGAGCTGATCTGGCCCATGCCCTCCAATCACTCCAGACCAGGTGCCAGCATCATGACCAACTCGGGCATTGAAGTCACCCAACAAGATGACTCTATCCCGAGGGGCAACTTTAGCCAGCACCTGTGACAGGAGGTCATAGAGGGAATCTGATTCATCGGCTCTGCCTGCATCCCTCCACGGATGTTCGTCTTCGGTGGGGGCATAAGTAACCACGACCACCACTCCTCGCCTCCGATTGATGGGAAGGCGAGCCCAAAGTAGCCTGGGGCTTACAGCTTCCCACACCTCACGCGCACACACACACACGCACACACACACACGTGGGTAGGTGAGTGAGTGGGTGAGTGGGTGAGTCAGTGAGTGGGTGAGTGAGTGGGTGAGTGAGTGAGTGGGTGAGTGAGTGAGTGAGTGGGCGAATGAGGGGGTGAGTGAGTAGGTGAGTGAGTCGGTGAGTAGGTGAGTGAGTGAGTAAGTAGGTGAGTGAGTGAGTAGGTGAGTGAGTGGATGAGTGAGTAGGTGAGTGAGTGAGTAGGTGAGTGAGTAGGTGAGTGGGTGAGTGAGTGGGTGAGTGAGTAGGTGAGTGAGTAGGTGAGTGAGTGAGTGGGTGAGTGAGTGAGTGAGTAGGTGAGTGAGTGAGTAGGTGAGTGAGTAGGTGAGTGAGTGAGTGGGTGAGTGAGTGAGTGAGTAGGCGAGTGAGTGAGTAGGTGAGTAGGTGAGTGAGTAGGCGAGTGAGTAGGTGAGTGAGTAGGCGAGTGAGTAGGTGAGTAGGTGAGTGAGTGGGTGACTGAGTGGATAGGTGAGTGAGTGAGTAGGTGAGTAGGTGAGCGAGTGGTAGCTCACCAATGGTGAGTGAGTAGCTGAGTGAGTAGGTGAGTGACTGAGTGGGTGAGTAGGTGAGTGACTGAGTGGGTGAGTGAGTGAGTAGGTGAGTGAGTAGATGAGTGAGTAGGTGAGTGAGTAGGTGAGTGAGTAGATGAGTAGGTGAGTGAGTAGGTGAGTGAGTGGGTGAGTGAGTAGGTGAGTGAGTAGGTGAGTAGGTGAGTGAGTAGGTGAGTGAGTAGGTGAGTAGGTGAGTGAGTGAGTAGGTGAGTAGGTGAGTAGGTGAGTGAGTGGGTGAGTGAGTAAGTGAGTAGGTGAGTGAGTTGGTGAGTAGGTGAGTAGGTGAGTAAGTGAGTAGGTGAGTGAGTTGGTGAGTAGGTGAGTAGCTGAGTAGGTGAGTGAGTGAGTGAGTGGGTGAGTGAGTAGGTGAGTGAGTAGGTGAGTGAGTAGATGAGTAGGCGAGTGAGTAGGCGAGTGAGTAGGTGAGTAGGTGGGTGAGTGAGTAGGTGAGTAGGTGAGTGAGTAGATGAGTAAGTAGGTGAGTGAGTTGGTGAGTAGGTGAGTGAGTAGGCGAGTGAGTAGGTGAGTGGGTGAGTGAGTTGGTGAGTGAGTAGGTGAGTAGGTGAGTGAGTAGGTGAGTAGGTGAGTGAGTAGGTGAGTGAGTAGGTGAGTGAGTGGGTGAGTAGGTGAGTGAGTAGGTGAGTGAGTAGGTGAGTAGGTGAGTGAGTAGGTGAGTGAGTAGGTGAGTGAGTAGGTGAGTGAGTAGGTGAGTAGGTGAGTGAGTAGGTGAGTAGGTGAGTAGGTGAGTGAGTTGGTGAGTGAGTAGGTGAGTAGGTGAGTGAGTAGGTGAGTAGGTGAGTAGGTGAGTGAGTAGGTGAGTGAGTAGGTGAGTAGGTGAGTGAGTAGGTGAGTAGGTGAGTGAGTAGGTGAGTGAGTAGGTGAGTGAGTGGGTGAGTAGGTGAGTGAGTAGGTGAGTGAGTAGGTGAGTAGGTGAGTGAGTAGGTGAGTGAGTAGGTGAGTAGGTGAGTGAGTAGGTGAGTGAGTAGGTGAGTGAGTGGGTGAGTAGGTGAGTGAGTAGGTGAGTGAGTAGGTGAGTGAGTGGGTGAGTAGGTGAGTGAGTGGGTGAGTAGGTGAGTGAGTAGGTGAGTGAGTAGGTGAGTAGGTGAGTGAGTAGGTGAGTGAGTAGGTGAGTGAGTGGGTGAGTAGGTGAGTGAGTAGGTGAGTGAGTAGGTGAGTAGGTGAGTGAGTAGGTGAGTGAGTAGGTGAGTGAGTTGGTGAGTTGGTGAGTAGCTCACCAATGGTGAGCGCCAGCACCTCCCCCAGCGAGGACTTTGAGTTTGGGCTGCTCAGCCGGAGGATTTCCTCTCCGCTCAGGTCCAGCTACGAGGATTAATCAATGAATGAATTAATTAGAATTCACTAACATTCACTGCTCATCAATAAAGCAGCTGCAGCAGGAGGAATCAGAGAAGCTGTGAAGCTCTTTGTCACAGGGAGGTGGAGGGTGGGGGTGTCAGACTGTCACCACAACAACACAAAGACAAAGATCCCCCGTGTAGCCTCTAACTGGCTCCTGGGGCAAGTGCTGTTAGCTACCGGCACTGTGGATGCATTCAGAGGCGGGTGGCACACCAGCACCACCGCTCCCGGCCGCCTTTGTCTCTCCCAGAGGTAGCGATGTTCACTACACCACCAACACCAACACCGCTACTACACCATCACTACACCACCAACACCACCACCACTACTACACCACAACCGCTACCGCTACCACCACCACTACCACTACACCACCACCAACACCGCTACACCACTACCACTACACCACCACCACTACACCACCACCACCGCTACCACCACCACCACTACACCACCACCACCACCAACACCGCCACCACCACTACACTACCATCGCTACACCACCACCACACCACCAACACCACCACTACACTACCACCGCTACACCACCACCACACCACCACCACCAACACCACCACCACTACACCACCACCGCTACACCACCACCACCACTACACCACCAACACCGCTACACCACCACCACCAACACCGCTACACCACCACCACCACTACACCACCAACACTGCTACACCACCGCCACTACACCACCACCACGACACCACCACCACTACACCACCACCACTACTACACCACCACCACTACTACACCACCACCACTACTACACCACCACCACCACCACTACTACACCACAACTACACCACCACCGCTACACCACCACCACTACACCACCACCACTACTACACCACCACCACACAGAGACCCACAGACTCACCACACAGACCCATAAGACTCACTACACAGAGACCCATAGACTCACACACAGAGACCCATAGACTCACCACACAGAGACCCACAGACTCAGCACACAGAGACCCATAGACTCACCACACAGAGACCCATAGACTCACCACACAGAGACCCATCGACTCACCACACAGAGACCCACAGACTCATCACACAGAGACACACAGACTCACCACACAGAGACCCACAGACTCAGCACACAGAGACCCATAGACTCCCCATAGACTCACCACACAGAGACCCATAAACTCACCACACAGAGACCCATAGACTCACGACACAGAGACCCATAGACTCACTCACACAAAGACCCATAGACTCATCACACAGAGACCCATCGACTCACCACACAGAGACCCACAGACTCATCACACAGAGACACACAGACTCACCACACAGAGACACACAGACTCACCACAGAGACCCATAGACTCATCACACGGAGACCCACAGAATCACCACTCAGAGACCCATAGACTCACCACACGGAGACCCACAGACTCATCACACGGAGACCCACAGACTCACCACACAGAGACCCATAGACTCACCACACGGAGACCCACAGACTAACCACACAGAGACCCACAGACTCACCACACAGAGACCCATAGACTCACCACAAAGAGACCCATAGACTCACCACACAGAGACCCATAGACTCACCACACAGAGACCCACAGACTCACCACACAAAGACCCATAGACTCACCACACAGAGACCCATAGACTCACCACACAGAGACCCATAGACTCACACAGAGACCCACAGACTCACCACACAGAGACCCACAGACTCACCACACAGAGACCCATAGACTCACCACACAGAGACCCATAGACTCACCACACAGAGACCCACAGACTCACCACACAGAGACCCAGAGACTCACCACACAGAGACCCACAGACTCACCACACAGAGACCCACAGACTCACCACACAGAGACCCACAGACTCACCACACAGATACCCATACTCTGTGTCTGTGTGTGACACTGTGTGTGCGTGTGTATGTGTCTGTGTGTGTCTGTGTGTGAGTCTGTGTGTGTGTGTGTCTGTGTGTGTGACACTGTGTGTGTGACACTGTGTGTGTCTGTGTGTGTGTCTGCGTGTGTGTGTCTGTGTGTGTGAGTCTGTGTGTGTGTGTGACACTGTGTGTGTGTACCCGTGTGTACGTGTGACACTGTGTGTGTGACACTGAGTGTGTGTGACATTGTGTATGTATGTGTGTATATCTGTGTCTGTGTGTGTACCCGTGTGTACTTGTGACACTGTGTGTGTGTGTGACACTGTGTGTGTGACACTGAGTGTGTGTGACATTGTGTATGTATGTGTGTATATCTGTGTCTGTGTGTGTACCCGTGTGTACGTGTGACACTGTGTGTGTGTGTGTGACACTGTGTGTGGCCTCAGGGTGCACATAGCCTGGCACAAGCGTCGTGGTAACGTCACCGCCACTTAGTGGCGAATGGCGGTTGTTGTTGTTGTGTTGTGTGTGACACTGTGTGACACTGTGTGTGTGTATATGTGTAACACTGTGTGTATATCTGTGTGTGTGTGTACCCGTGTGTACGTGTGACACTGTGTGACACTGTGTGTGTGACACTGTGTGTGTATGTGTGAGTGTACCCGTGTGTATGTGTGTGACACTGTGTGACACTGTGTGTGTGTCACTGTGACACTGTGTGTGTGACACTGTGTGACACTATGTGACACTGTGTGTGTATATTTGTGTGTGTGTGTGTACGCGTGACACTGTATGTGTGTGACACTGTGTGTGTGTGACACTGTGTGTGTGTGACACTGTGTGTGTGTGACACTGTGTGTGTGACACTGTGTGTGTGTGAGACACTGTGTGTGACACTGTGTGTGTGTGTGACACTGTGTGTGTGACACTGTGTGTACGTGTGTGTGACACTGTGTGTGTGACACTGTGTGTATATGTGTGTGTGACACTGTGTGTGTGTGTACCCGTTTGTACGTGTGTGTGACACTGTGTGTGTGTGTGTGTGACACTGTGTGTGTGTGTGTGTATATCTGTATGTGTGTATATCTGTGTGTGTATATCTGTGTGTACGTGTGACACTGTGTGTGTGTGACACTGTGTGTGTGTGACGCTGTGTGTGTATATGTGTGTGTGTGACACTGTGTGTGTGTGTGTACCCGTGTGTACGTGTGACACTGTGTGTGTGTGACACTGTGTGTGTGTATATGTGTGTGTGTGACACTGTGTGTGTGTGTACCCGTGTGTACGTGTGACACTGTGTGTGTGACACTGTGTGTGTGACACTGTGTGTGTGACACTGTGTGTGTGTGTGACACTGTGTGTGTGACACTGTGTGTGTGACACTGTGTGTGTGACACTGTGTGTGACACTGTGTGTGTGACACTGTGTGTGACTGTGTGTGTGACACTGTCTGTGTGACACTGTGTGTGTGTGTGTGACACTGTGTGTGTGACACTGTGTGTGTATATCTGTGTGTGTGTGACACTGTGTGTGTATATCTGTGTGTGTGTGACACTGTGTGTGTGACACTGTGTGTGTGTGTGTGACACTGTGTGTGTGACACTGTGTGTGTATATCTGTGTGTGTGTGACACTGTGTGTGTGTCTGTGTGTGTGTGACACTGTGTGTGTCACTGTGTGTGACACTGTGTGTGTGTGTGACACTGTGTGTGTGTGTACCCGTGTGTACGTGTGACACTGTGGACAGCTGTCTCCATGTGCCGTGACAGCGCCAACGGTGAGCTCCACCAGGTGCTGGAAGACGTCGCTCCTCGAAACAAAGTCTGTCTCGCACGCCACCTGCATCATCATCATCACCATCACCACCATCATCATCATCATAAAACCATCATCACCATCATCACCATCATCATCATCACCTACATCATCATCATCACCATCATCATCACCTACATCATCATCATCACATCACCTACAGCACCATCACCTACAGCACCACCATCATCATCACATCACCAACAGCACCATCACCAACACCATCACCACCATCATCATCACCATCACCTACAGCAGCACCATCATCATCATCACCTACATCATCATCATCATCATCACCTACATCATCATCATCACCACCACCATCATCATCATCATCACCATCATCATCACCTACATCATCATCATCACCTACATCATCATCATCATCATCACCTACATCATCATCATCACATCTCCTACAGCACCATCACCTACAGCACCACCATCATCATCACATCACCTACAGCACCATCACCAACACCATCACCACCATCATCATCATCACCTACAACACCATCACCACCATCATCATCATCACCTACATCATCATCATCACCTACATCATCACATCATCATCACCTACAGCACCATCACCTACAGCACCACCATCATCACCTACATCACCTACATCATCATCATCACCTACATCAACATCATCACCTACATCACCTACATCATCATCATCACCTACAGCACCATCACCATCACCTACATCATCATCATCACCTACATCACCTACATCATCATCATTACCTACATCATCATCATCATCATCACCTACATTACCTACATCATCATCATCACCTACATCATCATCATCACCTACATCACCTACATCATCACCACCATCATCACCACCTACAGCACCATCATCATCATCATCACCTACATCATCACCACCATCATCACCTACATCATCATCATCACCATCACCTACAGCACCATCACCTACATCATCACCTACATCATCATCACCTACATCATCATCATCACCTACATCATCATCATCACCTACAGCACCAACACCACCATCACCACCAACATCACCATCATCACCTACATCATCATCACCATCATCATCACCATCACCGACATCATCATCATCATCACCATCATCATCATCACCTACAGCACCACCATCACCACCATCATCACCATCACCACCAGGCGCTGGAAGACGTCACTCCTCGACACAAAGTCTGTCTCGCACGCCACCTACAGCACCTACATCATCATCATCACCTATATCATCATCATCACCTACATCTACATCATCATCACCTACATCATCATCATCATCACCTACATCATCATCACCTACATCATCATGACCTACATCATCATCACCTACATCACCTACATCATCATCACCATTATCACCTACATCACCTACATCACCTACATCATCATCATCACCTACAGCATCATCATCACCTACATCACCATCATCATCATCACCTACATCATCATCACCTACATCATCATCACCTACATCACCTACATCATCACCTACATCATCATCACCATCACCTACAGCACCATCATCATCATCACCTACATCACCTACATCATCACCACCACCACCACCACCCCCACCACCACCATCACCACCACCACCACCACCATCACCACCACCACCACCATCACCACCACCATCACCATCACCACCACCACCACCATCACCACCACCACCATCACCACCACCACCACCACCCCCACCACCACCACCACCATCACCACCACCATCACCATCACCACCACCACCACCATCACCACCACCACCACCACCCCCACCACCACCACCATCACTACCACCACCACCATCACCACCACCACCACCACCATCACCACCACCACCACCCCCACCACCACCATCACCACCACCACTACC